AACCGTAATCGACTATGTGGGAGTCCAGCAAAATAGCCATTACGCTAACTGCTGGTTCCCACATATATATATATTTATATAAAATTATGTATAAAATATATATATATGTATGAATACATATATATACACACACATATATACTTATATAAAATTATGTATAAATACATATATGCATATGAATACATATACATGAATTTTATATATATATATACACATATATACATACACACACACACACACATACACACACACACACACACATATATATATATATATATATTTTAACACATGTTATCTATTGGGTTGTCAGAAACTCATGATGTATTTTCTATGGGAAAATGTATCATGACTTTTTTGATGACCCAAGATCATGGCAGAGCTAACATATGGTGAACTCATTTAAAACTGGAGGTCCAGTGTCATCTGTGTGTGCCCAAAGTTTGAAGTAAGGAAACTGTGGGTAAAAGAAACCCGAAGACAACATCGATAGAGCTCATGGTTACATTACAGAGATTGCAACTTTCTGCAGAAATACGGCACCTTCTAGAAAATAAGGAAGGGATATAAACAAACCTTCCACGACAAACTAATCTTCTACAGACCAAAAGATAGGTTTGCTCATAGAGTTTTAGTCCTGAATATAAACTGTCTCTGTACAGATTATGTCAGGTCTACGCACCCACTTGATTGCTTTGCTTAATAGGTCTAAACTTTGCACTGAAGCAGAGTTGGAGGATTATCTGAGCATTCTTGTTGAACAAAGTGATTTTTTCTGGTGTGAATGACGCTTCCACAGCTACGTCAGCAATACTCTGTGACCTAAAAGACAGAGAGATGGACATTATTACTACCTGCAAGTGCTATAACCTCTGCATAGAGGACCCAGTTCCAGCGTCATTGGATTTCTTTCTCCACTCTCTGAGCACTTTGGCAGTATTTTCTATTAGAAAGCTCTACGATGGCAGGCATGGATAATGTCTTTTTCATTTGTGACTACATCCCTAGCACAATTTGCATTTAATATTTGTTATTAAATGAACACACGCATGAACACAGGATGGGAGTCTGCAGCTTCTTTGCAAGTGAAGTGAAAACCCATGGCCTTTGTTGTGTTTTGTCAACTAGAAGCAGTGCTATTCACTCCTCTCACAAAGGTAGAAGAGAGAGAAGGTGGGAAGGTGGGGCAAGTAGGGCTGATGAGTATGCTTCTGACTGCTTCCCTGCTGCTTCCGTGGTTGGCAATGATCCTCTGAAGTATGGCATAGGACCATGTGGGTGGCAACTAGCCTGATGTTAGAAAAGGGCTGAGGAGTCCATCTCAGAAAGGCTGCTACAGATTTCTGACCCTGGCTCAGACTTTTAGGTATCTGATTCAGGGCCTCATGTGCTCCCTATGACACTCTCATGAAGTAGATAGAACAAATATTATCTCCATTTTATTAATGAAAAAGGCTGAGACATAAAGATGTTTGGTGCCAATTTGATTCTTTTTTAAAGTGTGCAATTCCTCTTTTATATCTTGCAAGAATTTCCTCACCTCCTCTTTTCTCCTGCCTTTCCCGCAGTTCACTGTCTCTCTTCTCTTCCATCTCTGTTAGCATTGTCATTATGAATATTCAAAATTCTTTATCAGACATTTCCATGATTTCCATTGAACTGTCTGTGGATGAAGAGGAGTTATTCTTTTCCCCTGGAGGAGAGATATTTTCTTGCTTTCCCATATTTCTTGTGGTCCTGCGGTCATTTCTAGTAATCTGATGAATAGTGTGTTTCTTCCTAATTCTTGAAGTTCAATCTGAGCATTCAGGAGGGTGCAGAAGGAGGTGATCTGGAATCTCTTGCTGTTCTATTTTGATCCCTTTGTGCAGCAGATTCAGTGGATATTGAGGAATGTTAACCCTAATAGTATTTGGATGTTTGGCTATGGTTCCTTTAGATGTGTCTAGAGGCACAGTGAATGAAGATTGAGGTCCAGAGTGAGGTGATAAAAGAAACAGAAAAGGAAACAGAGAGAGCAAAACAACAACAACAAAGAAACAGAGACAAAAAAGAAGGAAAAAAATTAAAAACAGCCAAAAAAAAAAATACTGCGTGGTGAAGTCACTAGTTCTCAGGAGCCATGGAGTAGTCTTCTTCTGAAGGCCTTCCTCTTGCCTCTGTGGGTGGGAGGAGGAGAGGGAATTATTAGCAAGATAAAGGTGCGGCTGAAAGCTGAGAAAATACCTTAAAAATTTAAAAAGGAAAAATTACAAAAAAGAGAAGACAGACAGAGGCAGAGAGAGACAGAGACAGAGAGAAGCCTAGAGGGTCTCCCTACCACTTTGGTTTGGGGGGTAGAGGCTGAATTATCAGTAGAAAATCTTAATTTTTCTTTTTTCCCTGAGATCACTAGTTCTTAGGAGCCATGGAGGAATCTTCTTCTGAAGGCCTGCCCCTTGTCTGTCCACTCAGGTTTGTGGGCTGGAGGCTGAATTGTCAGTAGAAAATCTTCATTTCTCTTTTTTTCCTGAAATCACTAGTTCTCCTCTACTTTAATTTTTTAAGAGAGATTTTTGTTGTAGGGTGCATGCACTTGCTGGAGAGACAAAAAGACAGAAAGCAAGAAATCACCTCCCAGGTGGGATGGCCACTCCACAATCCCTTCATCTCCATTCTCCTCTGGGGATTTTGGGCATGCACACGCAAGTGCCCAGAGTGAGTTTCAAGCCTCCAGGTCTGGGACTTAAACCATGGTTAGCCATGTGGGAGCCCAGTGGTGTAAACATTATGCCAACTGTTGGTCCCAATAAACTTGTACTTTAATCTCATTTTTTTCACAAACTTTTTAAAGTCCCCTTGTATAGGATTGAATGCTATTCAGTCACTAAAGAGAATGATCTTCTGCCATTCAAAGTAATATGGGTGAGCCTGGAGAACATTATGTTAAGTAAAATGAGCCAGGCACATAAAGGGAAATACCATGTTTTCCCACTCACATGAGCAAAAGGAAATGGATGATCTCAAAGAAATAGAGAATAGAAGAATGACTACTAGAGATTGGAAAGGGTAAGGAGATGGGGGTAATAGAGTGGTGTTGGCCAATGGAAACAAAATTATGGATAGAGAGGAGGAACAAGTTCCAGTGTTATAAACTACAAAAGGAAAATTATAGCTAATAACAATTCATTATATCTCATAGTAGCAGAAAAAAGGGGGGAGTTGTGAATGTTCCCAGCATAAAGTAGTGACAAATAAATGAGATGATGGAGATGCTAAGTACTCTAATTTAATTATTACACACATATTCTTTCACTAAAAAATTTGTGTTCCCCATAAATATGTATAAGTATTATATATCATTTTTTTAAAAAGTAAACAACTTCTATGGCCATAACTCTTTGAATTTGAACAGCTAAACAATGCTAAAGCTAAGGGATGATTAAAGAATGCCATAGGAAACAGTAATTCAGGAAACCTGAACCTAGAGGCATTTTCTGGAGTCTGAAGGTCAGTAACAAATCCCAGTATTGCTCCACCAAATCCTACAATGGAATCGGTAATCTATCACTTGGTCGAGGTGGCGCATAGGGGCCGCCGATGAAAGAAGCATTTCTAGGCAAGAAGAATTTGGCAACATCCCTAGGACATTGTTTAACTAAAACTCACGATCCCCAGCACCTACCTCAGAGTCATCCAGAACCGGCATTTCTGTTAGAAATGCAGAGTTTTCCTGATGTCTTTATCAGATTCCATGGGAAGTAACAGAGGCATGGCAATCAAGTTGCAAAAAATCAACATTTATTAAGCTTCCTAGTGGTTCTTTAGCACACTGAATTTTCAGAGCATCTTCCCTAGACTCATGCTGGAGGCAGAGAATTGAGGTTGGGTGTGCAGATTCTCCTAGGGTTCCAGCTCCTCTTCTGCTAAAGTGGAGTTCATTCATGTGTCTCAGAACCATGCCATCAGTGTACACCATAGCTTTGCTGTCATTTATACCAGTGCCTTCCCATCCCTTCCATCACATCACTCCCTTTCTTCCTTTTCCCTTACTTGCTCTCTCTCTCCTTAGTATTCCTTTGCCACTCTTTCTTACTGCCTTCTTTCTTTCTTCTCTTTCTTTCTTTGTCTTTCTTCCTCCCTTCTGTCCTTCCTTTTCTCTCTTTCTCTCTTCTTTCCTTCCTTCCTTCCTCTCATCCTTTCTCTCTTTCTCTTTCATTTTTATAGACATTTATTAGCATCTCTGTACAGGTATTGTAGTAGTTAATATGGTGGATACAAAGATGTTATCTATTGGTTTCTGCATTCCAGGAACTTAACATGGGCCGATAATATTAAGACATCAACTGCTAGACCTCAAGGTGAACTATTCTCAGACCTCCAAGAGAAATGCATACAACACACTTGGAGCATTTAAAGGATAAAAGAATTCCATTAGACTGGGACAAGGTAAGAGGGGAATCATGGAAGGCTTTCTGGAAGAACACTTGATTAGAAATGCAGGCACACTCTGGATATGGAAAGGGGAATTCAGAGTAGAAGAAACATCAGAGACAAAGGAAGAGAACTTGGAGAGCGAGGGCCACATAGGACCTATTCTACTTGGCTGTAGTGGGATGATTAGAGAGTAGTGGGCTCCAAGTGAAAAAGTCTGGCACACCCAGCACTCACTTGGATTCAAGAAGAACCTGTTTCATTCCTTGCCCTAAAATGTCCTAGAGCTCTGGTCAATAATACTCCACTGAGAAGGAAAAAGACATATAGAAAAGCTGTCCAATATTCATTAATCTGAGGTGGAAAGACTGTGCTGTACTGAGTGTTGGCAAATTAAAAAAATGGTTTGAGGAAAGAGTAGCAATGACATTTACATTAGTCGTAGCTAATGTACATTGATTGGATTAAAATATGACATTATGAATAAAAAAGGCTTCTGTTGGAAAATGAAATGCCATTGCTTTCAGAGAGGGGGTAGGAAATAAAGCAAGCAGTCTGGATTCTGTTTTGCCTGAATGCTCTGGGTGCAGTGGGAATAGGGTCATTGATTTAAGCCCTTTCCCTAAAAATGCATTAATAAAGCACAGTTTTAAAGTTAAATAGATTTCTTCTGTGACTTCTTTCTCCAGGATATATTATTTGTGAATCTGTAATATATACATCTGCAATGCCCACCTCAATTAATTTTAGAAGTATAGCTTCTATGCAAAACAATTTATCCATCACACTGCACAATTGAACAATGTCTGCTTGTTTGTACAAGGAGCCACGTTCTGTGAATCAATGCATGTAATAAATTACAATCACTGTCACATTCAAAGTCGCAAGGCTTGGTCTCAACCTTTACTAGGGATGCAGGTGGGTTGAGTGTTAGGGTCTTAGGGCTGGAGGTTGGCTAGCTAATGAATAAAGAACTCCAGGTTTCATAGGACACTAAGCATTTCTTCATTGGGGCTCGGGGTGCTGTGGGACTTTGCTAAATTCTGGGCTTGTAGCTTCAAGTGAAAAAAGTCACCCCAATCACAAAAATCCTGCTCTCGGGTGAAAAATACACATGCTCTCTACACTAGGTAAACATTTTCTTGAGCTGGAGACTCAGATAAACATAAACATTAAAAAGAAAACCTGCTTGAATGTTTTTTCGTCTTCCTAATTATGTAAATATGTATTACTCACTCCCTTTATTCTTTCCAGCTGCTGGCAGCTCCTACACTTGAGAAGGTATGTTTTATTCAGGAGAACAAAACAGGCAGGGACCTGAGACTTCAGTGAATAATAAATTGATTTTGACTTGGCCTTTTAGCTCATTATGAATCTTTAAAATGGTGAAATGTGCATTTTCTCCCTCTCTGCTGAACTCCCCAGACATATGCTGGGATAAAGGATTTGGTACGAGGGGGTTTAATACCCAGAAGAGAAAGTCAAGATTGAAAGGAAGTCTTGGGCTAGAATTGAGAGGATACAGATGCTCTCTGCCCACCAGTTAGCCATTTATTCATCCACCCATCTCTATGGATCTATTCTTCCCTTCTTTGTAATGGTTAAGAAGTTAGGCTTTGGATTCAGCCAGCCAACTTAGGTTCAGTTTTAGTTCTGTCTCTCAAGATAGTGTGATCTTGGAGAATTATTTAATATCTTTAAAACTCAGTGCCATCTTCTATAAAATGGGTAAGATTAATATCTGTCCAGTTGCAAGGGAAAAAATAACTTAAACGTTGTGCAGTGGTCCTTGCAATAAACTTCCAATAAATAGGAGCTATCATTATTAACTCATTGATGTTTGTTAATAATCTACTCTGTGCTACATAGTAGACTGATGTAATCAGACTCTGATACAGAGTTTTCGTACAAGAGCTTTATGGAGTAATACAGAGAATAAGACATGCATGCATGCAATTCAGATTAAGGTTGAAAATGAAGATAGTAGGAAAAACTCATCAGATGTAGGTTATGTTACTTTATAGGGATAGAACTCACATCCAATTGTAGAGAAATGGTGCGGCTTTGTGACAAGGATGTCAACGGAGCTGGATTTAGAGGCTACGTAGAGTTTATAAGGGATTGTACACCTCTCACACACTACATACAACACATAACTGCGCACTGCTTGTAACTGCATACTGTGTGTGAACTGCATAATGTGTGCACACCACACACTGTGTAACACACACACAGCAGAGCACACACTGATATTGCTGGTGTACTGCATACCGCCAACTGCATGCCTATTTTAAATCTACTAGTCTGGTGAAACTTCTCATGTATTATTCCTCTTATCCCTTGCTACAATGTTGTGCTATGGCAGTTGGTGTTGGTATACTATCTGGCTGTGGCCAAGAGAGACTGAGTAACACACCCAACGTTACAGGAACAGGTTTAAACCTAGCTATCTTCTCTGCTATATGAAAACAGTAAGAACACTCATCTTGAAAGATGTCTATGTTCACTAAGTGAGGTAATGCATGGGAGTACCTGGAATGGTGAAAGCACACCTAAATAGTAGCTAGAATGCTGTTTTGGAGATGAAGATGATAATGAGATAATGATTTTTTTTTTGAGAGATTTTTCACTATAGGGTGTGTGCGCTTGCCAGACAGATAGAGAGAGACATATATAGACAGAAAGTGAGAAATCCCCCCCCCGGGGGGATGGTCATGCTGCAATCCCTTCTCCTCCATTCTCCTATCGGGATCTTGGGCATGCACACACACGTGCCTGGCGTGAGTTTTAAGTCACCGGGTCCAGGACGTGAACCGCGGTCAACTACGTGGGAGTCCAGCGACGTAGCCATTACGCTAACTGCTGGTTCCCAAAATGATAATGATCTTTACATAGCTGATACTAATATGCTGAGATCATATATCTAATTCACTTTGATCTGACCTTAAATTCTATACTGTTTCCATGGGCTTTGAAAATTGAGAAAACTGGGCTCCATAGATGGCATAATGGCTACATTGCTGGACTCCCATGTAGTTGACCATGTTTCAATTCCCAGACCTGGTGGCTTACACTCACGCTGGGTGCATGTGTGTGCGTGCCCAAGATCCTGAGAGAAGAATGGAGGAGAAGGGATTGCAGCGTGGCCATCCCCTCTGGGGGGTGATTTTTTGCTTTCTGTCTGTCTCTCTGTCTTTCTAGTGAGCACACACGCCCTATAGCAAGAACCTCTCAAAAAAGAAAAAAAAAAGAAAAGAAAAGAAAAGAAAAATTGACAAAAACATGAAGTGACTGGTTGAGAAATAATTTGCATAAAATGATGGAGGGACTACTGCCTATTATAGGGGCTGCTTAGTTTGTACCAGGACAGGAAATGACCTTTAGCTTCAATCTGGGCAGATGTCTTTCATAGAATCTGAAAGTCTCTGCAATAAGAAATACTTCAGAAATACTCATTTTCAAGCAGAAACTTCAGAATCAGAGTGATCAAGTTACATTTCTAAGGTTATATATCTAGTTAAAGCAGACCTTGTTTGAGAACCATAACTTGAATTCTAGACCTACAGAGAAACTTGTAAATTATAGATGCTCAGTGTTCTTTACAGCCTAGCTCAATCCCAGTCCCCAACATCCACTAATTGTTTCTTTAACACAGTATTGCCCAATAGAAGGAATATAGTCTGCATATGTACTTTAAAAATTTTCAGTAACCACATTTTTAAAAGTAAAAAGAAATAGGTAAAATTATTTTTTAAGAATTATTTTATTTAACTTTATTTGTTTATTTTAAATTTGATCAGAGAAGGACAGAATGAGAGAAGACAGGGAGAGAGAGAGAAGGAGAGAGTGGAAAAGTGAGAAAGCAAGCTGCCTAGTCTGGGACTTGAACTGCAGTTGGTCATGTGGGAGTCCAGTGTCCTTAACCATGATGCTACCTGCCGGGCCCAGTAAAATTAATTTTAATAATACATTTTATTTAACTCTGTATATTGAAATATTATCAATATAAATTATTAATGAAATTAGTTATATATTTAACATATTTTTATGCTAAGTATTTGAAATCTAGTGCTTTCATTCATATTATAGTCCATTGCAGTAACAGAATACCTGAGACTGGATAATTTATAATAAACAGAAATTTACTGGCTCATGGTTTTTGAAGTTAGAAATAGCAAGATTGAGAGGCTAGACAATGATGAGAATCTTTTTACTTCATCATCCCATAGAGGAAAGGCAGACCAAGAGTGAGAAAGAACAGTAGTAGGCTAAACTCACCCTTCTATACAAAATCTACTTCTATGATGACATTAATTCATTAGCAAAAACAGAGCCTCTATGATTCAAACACCCCTAATAAGCTCCATTTCACCTCTTAGATGCTCTACCTCTCAACATGGTTGCATTGGGAATCAAGTTTCCAACACATGAACTTTGAGGGGCACATTCAAATTGTAGCATTTGGAGTGTATTTTTTGTTTCGTTTTGGTTTGTTTTTTAGAGAGATTTTTGCTACAGGACATGTGCACTTGCTGGAGAGACAGAGAGACAGAAAGCAAGAAATCACCCCCACCAGGGGGGATGCCCATGCCGCAGTCCCTTCTCCCCCATTCTCCTTTCAGGATCTTGGGCATGCATGCATATACACCCAGTGTGAGTTTTAAGCCACTGGGTCTGGAACTAGAACCGTGGTTAGCTAGGTGGGAGTCCAGCGACATAACCATTATGCCATCTGCTGGTCTCCTTGGGGTGTATTTTATATTTATAGTACATCTTGATTTTGACTACTTTAGACATTTAGTAACATGGGGCTCCCCACCTATAGAAACATCTCATCAATTTTTTTTAATGCAAGAGGACATGCTTAACCACATGTGCCAGTGAGAGAGAACTTATCCCCTCTGTTTTCAGTAGGGTCTGGTCATACCACAGTCCTTTTTTTTCCAGTTCTCCATTCACCAGGATGGGTTTTTGCTGTAGGGTATTTGTACTCACCAGAGAGACAGAGA